TGCCTCAATTGCATCAAAAAAATAATTAAACTGCCATTAAAACAACAAATAAAGTGACGCAACTGTTGACTGAGAGACCATTGGATAATAAAACCAGAACAACTGTTCCTAACCCAATAATTGGTTTATTTATGGGTAGCGGTATTTGGTTGCTGAAGCACTAAGTGTGTCGAAAATACCGTAAAACAAATATGCAAATATGCGTCTACTGAGAGAACAGTAATAATCAGCAAATTAAATTTGGTAAGTAAAAGCGTAATTTGAAGGAAAAATCATATTTAATTCTATATGTTTGTTTTCAGGTGAGGCAAATTCTCTGGGTGGATCATAGGTCTAATTTCATGAAAGCAGCATTGCCAAATTGACTTTAAGTATTAATGATTAGGTATGACTTTGAATAATGCACTGGGCCAGATAAATTTTGCTACTGAAAATATCTCATGCAGTTAAATTAGTGGGAAGACGGAATGGATGTGCATGCATCACTTAGTGGCGCTTACAAAAAGGTTGACTGTAGCGTCCGAAGAATTCCCGACCAGGATAAGAAGTTAATGTGCGCAGCTGAATGCATGTATTCCGAAGACGACAGGGCAAATGAGCCTAGGCATGGCCCGAAGGCCAGCCCACGTGTACAAGGACCAAACAAATCCTAAAGTGACTGTCAAACGTCATGTGGCCACATAAACAAAGCATTACACTGCCCCTCTCTTCGTTTGAGCGGCGTCCTCGGCGTTTCTCTTTGGTACATCTCCTGCACCAGCTACCACAACATGTTCGGTGCTACAAGAAAGCATCCACGAGCCAAACGCGCCAGTCGACAAATAGCATGAGACTGAGGAACCGTACCTGGTCTCCTCGGCAACTTCAACTGGTTCTGGAGTTACGTTCGGCCTGACAACCGGATTCGGGGCCAATTCATACTTGTTGTCCATCAATTGCTTCCAGGGCTAGACAGTGGAACATATATGCCACAGGGAAAACGGGATGAGCCACTGTCTCGTATGTGAAGATAACCGTAGTGTCATTTCCGACACGAAGCTTTTTCAGATGGTTCACGGCAGTGTCGCTTCGGTTGTTGATACGCGGGAATAAGGTGGAACCAAATGCAGACGTCCAATAGTAAATGCGCCTCCTTCAATTCACGTCCCTTTTCGCCTGTATCTTCATCTATTGCACTTCCTTTAATGTGTGTATAGCTCATGATGGCCGGTGCACAACGCCAAAGTGCGCTTGTTGATCTTGGAATTCTCGACTAAAGTTCGAATTCCTTTGCAGTCTTGTCTGCTGGTTGGACTATAAACTTCTGTCGTGAAAAGTGAGATTTCGATTTTCCGGAAAAGCGAACGCGATTTTTGGGTCCAAAAGATTATCAGGCTCATAGATACACAAACCCAGAGCATCATCATCAAGAACAAGCGAAACTTCTCCAGACCCTGTGCGATTTGTAGGTACTTAAGCATTGCATTGTCCGATCGAACCATTCCTCGTCGGCTTATTCGCACTGTTCTTTTCCAGAAATCAGTCAATTAATTGGCAAAGTTTAGCAGCACAAATGTAGGATGCCAGTAAGACAACGGTGTCTGTTGGGCAATAGATTTTCCCGGACACTATGTCGATTTAACAAACGACCAACGAAGAACAAGCCGCAGAGAGAGACCCCACCTCGGCTAAAAGTCGAAAAAAATGTCGGGTTCGCTTTGCGCTGCCACCAGTATAGCATTCCGAGACCTCTTGGCCGGTATAAGAAGTCAGTAAGTGCAGATGGATACATGTATTCTGAAGATAAATCCTAAAGTGACCACCAAACGTCATATGGTCACATAAACAAAGTATTGCATTGGCCTTCGTAAAATAATGTTTTGAGTTAATCGGCTCAAGATTAATACATTGAACTCTCATAGCGAAGGATTAAGTTAAAATAGAATGGAGAGTCATGAAAATCCTTAACAGACAATAGAGGTACCGAA